GCATGTCTCCTTCTGTCTCCCTTTGTCTCCGGTCTTGTCTCCCTTCTTGTTGGTCATGTGTCCGTCTTGTCTCCCTTCTGTCTCCTTTTTTCTCCTTTCTTGTTGGTCATTGTGTCCGCCTTGTCTCCCTTCACATTTGTCTCCCAGCTGCTCTGCCCTGCAATCCTTTACGTTTGTCTCCCAGCACTGGGCTGCGTGTCGCTTGCAATCCTTTACATTTGTCTCCCTGTGTTTACATGTGTCTCCCAGCTCTGGACTGCTGTGTCCGCCTCTGCCTTGCAATCCTTTACATTTGTCTCCCAGCGCTGGGCTGCTGTGTCCGCCTCTGCCTTGCAATCCTTAATTTTTTATTTGTCTCCCAGCTCTGACTGCTGTGTCCGCCTCTGCCTTGCAATCCTTTACATGTGTCCTCGCAGGCCTTTGCAGTTGTCTCCCAGCTCTAGACTGCTGTATCCACCTCTGCCTTGCAATCCTTTATTTGTCACCCAGCTCTGGGCTGCATGTCGCTTGCAATCCTTTACATTCTCCCTGTGTCTACATTTGTTTCCAAGCTCTGGATTGCTGTGGCCGCCTCTGCCTGGCAATCCTTTGTCTCCCAGCTCTGGACGTCGCAAGCTCTAGTTGCAGAGTGTTCCGATTTTGAAAATCACAAACTGTTTGGGGTCTACGGCAGTGTAATTTACTTTTTACTGTTTGGTGATGTGTATGCATATGACCAAGTGACTTGAATAACCTTGGTTGGGCAGTTCAGGCAGCGATAGTGTCTGAACTTTGAGATGTCTTGGAGTCTTGCATTTTGCTCAATTCTTGAGGTGCTCGAATTGGGCGGTTCGATGAAATGGCAACTCGATATCGAGAGCTTTTGAGCTACATGGACCAGGCCTCCACTGCAGGGTCTTGTGCTAAGCCCAGTCTTGTGAGATAAGCGTATTACAGTATAGCAACTTTAGCTCGGACGTCCATACGACATTGTGGCTACTGTGGTTGCTTGTGGGAAGGCCACAGTGATCTGTCATGGTTGACATGCTGAAATAAACTCGCGCAGGTCACTCGGAATGATGCATCCGAAGCTATCAACACGGTGCTGATCTCATGCTGGTAGCAGTGAAGCCAATGTGGAAGCCAAATGCATTTTGTTCTGTTCCTTCCAGAAAGCGCATTCGTTGCTACCAGGTGCTCGACTCTGTATCGTCGGCAAGTGACCTGGCCAAGCTCGAAACTATTTATGAGCTAACACTGGACGCTCTAAAAGCAACTGCGAACCAGAGGCGGCACACAGACATTGTGCTGCTTGCAGATTGTTGCAGATTGTTGCAGATTGTCGCAGGCTGTGGTTTAGCACATCAGTGAAGCTTGCCAAGCTTCATCTCGAAATGGGCTTGAAGCTCGACAAGAGACATAGACAAGCAACAAGATCAAAACACGAGCAACAAGCAATGTGCGTATTCTGCCTATTTCTGCTGAGGTGATGTGCAGAAGCTGCAAAGACTTGTGAAGGCTTCCAGCTTCTGCAGTTTCATCGCTTCGTGGCTCTTCTTTTCCTCTTTGTGGCTTGTGCTTGCATCGTGGCCTTTTCTCGCGTTTCAGGCTTTGCACAGGACGTGCCAAAAGGCTGACGGCACAGACGACGTCAGCAAGGCCAGGGATGCATTGAGAGATCCTGAACCTCCTTCACGATCTGATTTCAGGGCTCACACCTGCTGGAAGTGTACGCGTTGGAGATCCAGGCTCTTGTGATTCATCCAAGGCACTTGCGCACTTAACGTTGCTGCCAAATTGGTGCAGATGTGCACTCTGACCAAGAACTCCATTCGTATGAAGGTTGGATGACAATTGCATTGGGTTCAGATGTGGGTTTGCAAGCGACTTTGATCTCTTCAATTGCCTTTGCAACGCTAGTGAACTGCACAAGGAGATCTACCCGAAGACCATCAATCTCACATCAGTTGGCCTGTCATGTTGACTCTCTTTCCTTTGTAGCAAAGAGGCTTGGTCAGCTAGGGTTCCTTCTAAGGCTATTGCAGATCCACGAAACATTGCAGTCATCCGAGAAAGTGGTGGGAAGATGTTCATGAGCGAGAAGAAGTGGGAGGCAGCGCGGAAAGAAAGAAGTGAGTAGTGGATACTGTACATGCTGTGTGCATCGCTTGATACCGTGTCGTGCAGGCGGCATACAACGAATTCTTTGAAGCCTTCAAAAATTATCAGGAGACTGGTAATGCCAGCAGAGCCAAGATTATGCTCAAGTATGTGGCACCACTCTCAGATCAAAACATTTGACGCTGGTTTTCGACGTTTGCTTTCTTGGATATTGTTTTGGTTGCTTGCACTGTCCGAGTCTCTCAACCAGAAAAGCATCCTATGTGGCTGAAGCTCTTGTTCACACAACTGACGATGCTTTGCACAGAGCCAGCTCATTTTCTTTCAAGCACTACAGCTACAAGCTACAATGCCAGCTGCGCGTCCATGAGAGCAAGAGTGCCTCCCATCGGCTGTTACAGAGCACACGCAGTGATTGCCCAGTGTCAGAGTCTATGTGCAAGAGTGAGGTTTGCTTTTTGGGCAAAGGTGTTTGCACCTTTGATCTGCAAAGGCCTCAAGGAACACAACTTCTGTTGTTTGTGTAATTTCAATCTTTCACATGAGTCTTTTCCCTTCTCCATCTTTGGATATCTTTGGTGATTCATCTGACAATCGGCAGGTGCGTGTGGTGTTGTCCACCAGACAGGCTCTGAATGCCAAAAGTATTGTTTCAAGAGTCCATCCATGATCCTCTTGGACCTCGAGCTTCCTGGCTTTCTGCTCAGCAGCAGAGTGCCCCTGTAACCCTTTCGTTGCTGCGTCAGCAGTGAGGGATGCGCCAGCAGTCCTTTTTGGACGCTCTCCCATGATTGTGCATCACTTTTTCGCACCTGTTTTATCCCACAGTGCACTCCCTCCCTGTACGCTCTCTTGATTCCAGAGCTGCTGTGATTCGCTGCAGCATTTCTTTGCAAGATGGACGCCACGGAGCGCGAATCACAACTACTGTGATGGACCAATGCTAGCGTCATCGACAAATTCACCAGCTCCAAAGGCACCAGTAGGCGCCTACTTAATTAAGGCAGTAAAGCTCCTAGCAATAGGAAGCTACTAATGAGATAGCTCACGCTTCCTTGAAGAAGCGCTCACACTGATGATTTGGTTCCTAGGGAAACTCATGACCGTGGTTGTGACTCACACGTGGACCGACAACACTGTACGAGACACCAGCCATTGCAGCTTGGCCCGGTCATGGCAAGACACATGTCAGGTGCTGGCGGCATAGTGGCTGCCTCCAACCCATTTGGCCTTGCGTTTGCCGTTCACTGTCAGAGCTTTCGGAATGTTAAAAGACTCTTGGTTGTTCCTCTTTCATCCTCTTTCTATATATATATATACGGTAGATGTCTAAAATATTCTATGATCATATATAATTAATCTACCTTCAATTTCTTGAGCGTTGATTTATTTTTATCCGTTTTGCATCAGCTCCATCTTTTTTCTACATACATCGCCATACAGGCTGTTGCTGGACAGATATTTGATCATTTGATCATATTATAATATCGTAAATTCTTTTGGCTGCATGTTCTGCGAGATGCTGCCATTCCTGAAGTTGGACGATGTTCTTCACTGTTTATTGTTTGACCGATCTCCTTCGACGTCACACATTCAGACCTCTTCAATCGTTCTTAATGAGGTTCATTCAAGGTCCAAGGTCCTTGTGCCGGGCCTTCTCCCAGTGGAACCGCAAAATGTGATCGGTGGAAGTTTCTTCAGTTCCTCCACCACTTGCTCCGTAAACTCCTGTCTGCGTACTTTCTCATTGTTCGGATCCATGTCATGCTCTTCTCCCTTGTCAGGAGTTTTCACACACTTCAGCCTCCTTGCAGACCATCTCACCCACAATCTCATGCCAATTGGTCCATGTTTGACCCTTTGATGTCCGAGATCAGCCTGGTCAAAGTGAGCTTTTCTTTGCAAACAAAGATCTGGAAGACCTGGTGCAACACTGGCCAACTTGGGAGCATTGGAACATTGCTCGATACAAACTCCAGTCACAAGTAGTTGCGAACTATATTCTTGAGGAACGCTAGGGTTTTGAGCCACCAATTGGTTGTTATTGGCCTGTTGGATCTTGGAGGTGACAAGTTCCGCAGAGCCCATTTTTGCCTCAAGAGCCAACATTTGTGAACCATCCCCTCCGATCTGCAGCTTCGCATATTATTTGCTGACAGTGCGACAAGGTGGGCCTGACTTGGATTGCAATGACTCTTCCTGATCTGACAATGGCAGCAAGTAGTAAAAGACGGATCTTTGGAGTAGATCTTGTCTAAGAGTCTATTCAGCAAATCTACACTCACACACTCGTGTACATTCCTTTTCTACTTTTCTTCGCCTTGCCTTTGTGCCAAGGTTCTTGTTTGCCAAGACCTTGTCACATCAGACACTTGTTACACTAAGAGCCCCCGCCACACCAGGAGCCGTTCTGTTGCCTTTGCTTCACAGAACATGCTAAGTTCCATAAGAATCGAATCTAAGAATCCGCACTCTTCCACGTCCTTCCATGTGGTAGCTTCCTTCCTTGCAGTACTACTAGCTTTTATCTTTTATCTAAACGGCCTATATACTCCGCCCCCAAAAAAACACCAAAGAATGTCCGGCAAGCCTGCAAGCTACTACTGTAAGCCTGGTAAGACATTTACCACATTTCTTTGTGAACAAGATATCATCAACTTGTTTTCTTCTCGACATTATTTTTTCCGTATATAGTCATACTCAGTGCCTTGGACAAGCAGCTACAGTCATAGAACCATAGAGTGCTTGCCAGACTATCATTAGTGTTGGTGTTGTTTGTCACAGTAATGACCTTTGCATGATTTCATGTTGTGCCCCACTGAAGGTACTGGCCAACATGTTGGCATTGTCTTCCATCAATCCATTTGACTCTCGAGAAGCCAAGGCTGACATCACCGATGCTTCCTTTTGCAAAACATTTGCTGAGAGGTTGACCTGGTTGTCTCAAGGTGTATCAAGACGATCCTGAAATTAGTGCCATGGCCTCTCTTCGTTCGGCTTATGAGCCGCGCTCTGAGTACAAATGTGAGTGTGTCAAGTGGAGGTAAGTCCTTCCAAGGCAAAACGACATCGGCACCATCGACCAGCTTTTGACCAACCCTTCATATCGAATTTTGTCGGATGCATTTATCCGCACCTACTTGCAGGCGAGCGAGTTTTTGTTTTTCACATTCTTTTAGTTGCCCTGAGGAGGAAGGTCCGTAAGTAGTCTGGTGGCAAGGACACAGAAGAACCCTTGCTATACCAAAGTTTCTTTGTAAGGTCAAGTTTGAAATTTGAATGAACAAAAACAACATCTATTTTGACAGGACCTGCTCCGAAATATTCGACTTCAGGCCAGGCCGAAGGAGATCATGCAGCAGGGGCATGTGTAGTGTAGGTGTAAATATTTGAACATCTGCATAGCTGAAACGGCAAACCTTCTCTCGTGAACCAAAGGAAACATACATATCATACAATAATAATAGTAATAATAATAATATATAGTAATAATAATAGTAATAATAATAACAATAATAATATAACAATAACAATAATAATACTAATAATAATATATATATAAAAAACATGACGCATCAAAACCTTTCTTGCATTCTGATTTTGGGCGAGCTCTCCTACCTTCTGGGATTTTAATGCTGCCGGCTTGAGTTTGTCAGTGAAGCAAAGCGGTGCCTTAAACATAGTGCAGCAACTGGCTCACCGCCTGAACGCTCGAAACGCCTTTTGTCTTTTTTCTGAGTTTTATAGCCTAATGGCTGCCCTACTTTTCCTTTGCGACAGGTTGCAATCAAAGGCAGGGTATGTTATGTTTTGAAGCCAGCGGAGGCTAGACAGGTGCCGGCGGGGCCCGCTTGTGTTTCATCATAGCCTGGTGGGTGGTGTTTTTACTTTCTGATGAAGGCTATTTTTGCAGTTGGTGATGCAGAAGATGCTCACCAACTTCTTGTGGCATTACTTGCATCAGCAAGCTCACTGGGCAGATGGAAATGGATTGGCTAAAGATGCTTCCTTACATGAGTAAATGGTTTGATTCGATGCTAGCGCTCAGGAGGCAGAAATTCTGGCCAGCGCGCGATTGCCCCCTTGCAGTCCATCACAACTAGCGGTCTCAGGAGGCGTGTATTCTGGAGGTTCCCGTGCTATTTTTGGCAGAGAGGTGTGAATGTGTGGCTGATGAAGGAAACCCTACCCACGAACTGGTCGACTCCAGGATGATCCCATATGATCCCATCAAGCAACCACCCTGGCCTCTTCTGGAGGAACTGCCTGTCACACGTGTCATCTTCGCGATCCTCTCGTCAGAATCGTCGATGGTGAAGTCAATTTGGCCAACTTCCCATCACACAACGCAACGATAGCAGTGGCATGCATCGCATTAACCATGTTGTGGGCCGTCGGTCTCTTGCTGGCTTTCGTCCCCACCCTTCTCAAGTGGTCCCCCTCCCGGTGTATACGCATACTTCTATCGTCACATTCATTTTTGAATTTTCACGGTATTCCAATGTTATTGAATCTGAACCTTTGTGTATTCAGGGGTAGTTTCAGGGGTGTTATCTTGCTTCTAGTCCTCCAACGCGCGCAAAATACTGCGCCTGCCACGAGAAACGACGGCGTGACATCTTCGTGTCTTCAGCAAAATTTGTACCGCGCCACACGTTTGGAACGATTTCCACACTCACCCACATCCACTAAACCCGCCCATTTAGTTGAGACTTCTCACACAAACGCAGCTTCAAGAAGGCAGCTTGAAATGCAATTCCCACTGTCGCAGCAACGCCTAACACTTCCAACAGACCCCTGGCAAACGCCAATCCCACTGTCGCAGCAAAGGCGACTGAGGATCTCACGAACCGTTGCGCCCGCGCAGAAAATCACCCCCCTTGACACCTCCGCGTGTTACGCTCACCATTTCACACGAATCTGCCATTCATGCTTCCATCCAAAACCTCCTCCAAAAGCTTCCCCCACTGCAAGAGAATTAGCAGTCCGGCGACGACGGCCCGACGATGTGACGGCGCGCGCGGGTCCAGCCCCCAACCCCCCCAACCATAAACGGGGGACCCCTCGCCACGCGCCTGGCAAAAACGCCTTCTACTCGCGCAAAAATATTGCCATACGCCCAAGTCCAGAAGATAGAGAACGAACAAATTGCTCTCAAGCACACAGACACGGCCGCCGGCCATGACGCGCCTTTGGAATTGAACAGAGCATGACTGAATAATGGCGTTTTCACATTCTCTTTGCAAGATATGGCAGCTCATGCTGCCTGCTCACAGCAGCCAACAAATTTGCAAGAGTTAGGTACCCGTTGGGGGTTGCAGCGGCGCAAGATATTCATCAAAAGGCATCCTTTCTCGCCGCCGAACTAAGAATTCACAGAAGAGTTGTAGACTTTGATGAGACTTTGACCATGTGGTACTCACAGGAGTCTCAAGTACAAATGACCCAAGGTTCAAGATCAAATGTCAGGTGCAATGTCGCGTGCCGTACGCTAGACGAAGGTGTGGGCCAACCTCCCGTGTCTGGTCTAACTCCTTTGTACTTTTGTTTGATGCTTCCTTTACTTGATTCTCAGCAATCTTCAAAGCAAACATTTGCAAGTAGAAAGAGTTGGGCAAAAATTGTGTGAACAAGTGGCAGGCTTTTGAGATTCGGAAGAGCTTGTTGCCGAAAGAGGAAGCGTAAAGCAACTGTATCAGCAGCGCGGAAGCTCAATACGTAGAGGAAGAGCTGACCAACGCTGGTACATAGTACAAACTGGCGTTTGGGGATCTTACTTCAAGAATAGGAAGGGCGTTTTTGCGCGCTGTGCCGCCGCAGGCACCGGTGTGTGGTCGCGTGTGCTTTGAGAGCTTTGGCGCTGGTGCCGCTGCAGGGTGCCGCTGCCAGACATGTGGTCGTGTGCGCTTTGGAGCTTGTGCTGCAGGGTGCCGCTGCAGATGTGTGGCTTTGCTGGTGCCGCTCCAGGGCGCTGCTGCCGGACGTGTGGCTTTGCGCGGTGTGGCCGTGTGCGCCTTGGGGCTTCGGTGCTGGCGCCGCCGCTGCCAGATGTGTTGTGCGCTGAGCTTGGGTGCTGGTGCTGCTGCAGGCGCTGCCATGTATGTGGCTGTGTGCGCTTTGGAGCTTGGGCTGCTGCCGCTGGGTGCGCTTTGAAGCTTGTGCGCTGCAAGGTGCCGCTGCCAGATGTTTGTGTGGGCTTTGGAACTTGGGCGCTGGCGCCGCTGCAGGCCGCCCACAAAAATCTTTAGCCATCTGGGGTCTACGCTCGAATATTTCGGGCACTAGGAATGAGCAATCTGATTGCTAGAAACGTAGCACCTCTACACACCACTTTATGTGCGCGAGCCGAAACACTCGTCTACATGCGGTTGGTCGTTCACAGTGTTCTTACTTGAGCTTGAAAATTCACGCCTTTGCTGGACATAAGCAGCAGTTGGATTGCTAAGGAAGGCAGCGTGCCAACACTTTATGTGCGTGATTTATGCGTATGAAAACCTAATGTGAAGGGGCTTTGCTGTTTAAAGCGCTCTTGGTTGACTTGGTGACATTTTTCTGGGAAAGGACAAGGTCTAAGGTGATGGCTAAACAAAGCAGCGCCCATGCAAACATTTTCTGTGAACTGCAGGCTGGTTGTATGATCGCAGAGATAGAACATTTTGCAACGGCAGGATTTCAATGGTGATTGAACCTGTTCCGCATTGCGTTGGCAGAAGCGGGTTGTGACTTTTGCGCGAAGACACGAAGACACGAAGACACGCGAAGACACGCGAAGACACGAAGACACGCGAAGACACGAAGACACGAAGACCCGAAGACACGAAGACACGCGAAGACACGAAGACACGAAGATACGCGAAGACACGCGAAGACACGCAGACACGAAGACACGAAGACGCAAAGATATGAAGACACGAAGACCCGAAGACACGAAGACACGCGAAGACACGAAGACACGCGAAGACACGAAGACACGAAGATACGCGAAGACACGCGAAGACACGAAGATACGCGAAGACACGAAGACACGCGAAGACACGAAGAGGCTTCAGGTCTTCAAGGCTTCAGGTCGTCACTAGGCTTCAGGTCTTCAAGGCTCCAGGTCGTCACTAGGCTTCAGGTCGTCACCAGGCTTCAGGTCTTCAAGGCTTCAGGTCGTCACTAGGCTTCAGGTCTTCAAGGCTTCACTTAGATGGGCTGGGGTGTTGCTAACAGGTTATAGGTTTTAAGGTAGTTAGTAATGCATTGTTAACTATATGGTAAACTCTTGGTAACTACTTGTTAACTAGTTATAATGTATTGCCAAAGTTATAAGAATTACTATCTCTTACCAAAAATTAACTAATTATGTTATTTTACTTAAAGAGTTAGCAAAGTTAGTAACTGTTAGCTAATTTTTGACCAATGATTTACGCAATTACATTGTAATGATTTAGATTTTGTTGTTATGAGAAAAACAACATTTGCACAAAGAGAAAAGTGTTTTTTCTTTAGAAAAAAGATACAAAGCAAAAAAAATAAATAGTGCTCTGTGAAGATCAAAAGCTGGCAGCAACAAGTAAGAAACAGCAGCAAACACAATATGGTTTGATTGGGGGCATGTGTGAGATTATTGCGAACATGCTATTGTCAATTTTGTTTTTCAAAAGCACTTGGTGCTGCAATTTGTTTTGATTGAAGCACTTGGTGATTTCCTTTGGAGGAAAACCACACCATTTTCAGAATCTATAGGCCAGCTGGTGAATGATTTTGCCAGTTGAATGGTCTGGACACCATGCATTAGCTGTTTACAACTTAGGGATTGTTGGCCCAAAAATAATTTGCAGTAGCATGGCAGAAGTTCCAGCTGCAATGGTGGAGATCACTCCTACTTTTGCTTTGTCCTTCAATGGTGCAAAGCCTATTGCCATACCACCCCACTTCATTGTCCAGGACTGATTTGTTTGTTCCTGGCTAAATGCTTTCTTTGAAGCAACACATGTTGGTTTTGGCTGGTGAATGGCATTGCATGTGGTTCATTGATAGCTGAAACATTGCAGGACATCAATGACAACAACTACTTGAAGATCCAAGGCAGCTCCCCTTTGATCAGCAGATTGATTTGTGGGTGCACTTTGAAAGGCCACTCATTCTCGAACTCCACTACTTTCAAGGAATTGAAGCAGAAGAGGAACCAGAAGCTCATGAGTGGGGACAAGAAGAAGCTCAAGACTGAACAGGTGGTTGAGATCAGAATTGGCTCCACCGATGTATCCATCCTGTGCCCTGGGAAGAGATCTGCATCAGCAGACCTCTTGGTCTTGATGGAAGAAAATCAGCTGAGCTGTATCTTCGACCT